AAAAACAACCTGGATGAATAACACATGGCATATTACACTGTCCCATTTTTTAATTGAACCAAAGTGCAGATGCAGTGTGTCAAAACTAAATGGGGCTTCATTCATTAGCTTGGAGAGCCACTTTCAGCAGCAATAACGTTAGGTAACTATTTTCTGTATTAATTTATCATCTCTCACATCATTCTGAAGTAATTTTGGTACACCCTTCTTTACACCAATGCTTCAGTTCATTGAGGTTGGCAGGAATTTTTGTATGCACAGTTCTCTTAAGGACACGATACAGTATTTCAGTCTGACCATTGTAGCATCTTGATTATTTTCTTTTCAGTCATTCTGTTGTAGAATTTCTGGGGTGCAAAAGTTACAGAAAGCTGGCGTAAGCAGCAGTACCAGCAACCAGAGATTGATTTGGCTTGGGGTGTGGTTTTGGCTCAGCTGCGGTGGAGAGGTGGAGGGCGCACTCATTGGGCTAGTTGTATGGTTTGTACCATTGTGCCGAGTATTGCTGGCATTTCCGGGAGAGACAGATGGGGCATGGGAATCGCCTTGTTCTTATGCCAGCCAGCTCTTTGAAGTGGCAGCCCAGTGGTTGCAACCTAACCCCACTGGGCTGCCACTTCAAAGAGAGTTAAATTCTAAATCAAGTTGTAAAATCTAAAAGTAAGCTAATAATTATTGATACAGCTTGTTCAGAAAAGCATAATACTCATTTAGGTAAAGATTTTTTTTAAATATCAGACCTTGTTGGCTTGTTTAAAGCCCCTTGTTATGACCTGGCTCGGAACGACCGTAACAAGAGGAGGGTGTCCTGCAACTCCCCATGCTCAAACAGACACAGCCATAGCATCGGGCTTTTTATAACAATTTATTTACACGAATGGCATTCAGAACAACGATAGAGGGAGTGTACGGCTTCAGGGTGAGCCAAGGCCAACACAACAAACAAGAAAGCAACAAAAGAAATGACAAAGTCTAACATCCCTGGTCTAACAACACAGGAGAAAACAAAACTTCCCAAAATAATCGGCAGCTCACCTCTACTCACTCTGCAATTCACACACATGCCCGAATAAATAAATAGCACAGAGCCCACCGCCTGTTCCCTCATCAGAGTCATTACTGAAGTCCTGACGGTGTAATGTTTTGCCCAGTAGCTCCACCCAGGCATTGGGGATTTGCCGATGGAGCCAGGATTCCATTACAAACTTAAATGTGCTGTGGGCAACAGCTGGCACTGTCATCTCATTTGAGGGGCACTTTAGTGTTCAAGTAGTACAAAAAAAAAACAGCCAAACAAACAAAAAAACACACCCACAAATTTCTGAAATGGTGGAAGAGCATATGGGAACAGTTACCAATAACCATCACAGTGGCAGACATCCATGAAAGGGTCTCGAGTATGAAGAGTTGGACAGCACCAGGCTCTGACATGGTTCACGCCTACTGGCTGAAGAAGCTGACTGCACTTCACGAGCATCTGGCAGCACAAATGAACCAGCTGCTAGTCCACGAGAGATGGCTAACCAAAGCCAGACACTCCTGATCCTCAAGGACCGGTATGGTCCCATTCAACTACTTAACACAGACCCCATGGGGCACACCACAGCAGAGGGGTGCGAATGAGGAAGAATAATTGCCCATAGAGACAGAGAAAGTCCTCTCGGATAAATATGATTTGAACCATGAAAACAATTTGCCTTTAAGGCCAACTACATGTTCTAGCCTTGAAAGGAGGATGTTGAGGTCAACAGTATCAAAGGCAGAAGTCAAGTCTAGTAGAACTAAAACCACAGGACGCCCTGCATCAGCAGTTACAAGGAGATCATTAAAAACTCTCAGTAGAGCTGTTTCTGTGCTGTGGTGAGATTTGAAACCGGACTGGAATTTTTACTTGATTCCATTAGTCTCCAAGAAGGATTGTAATTGCTTAAGAAATAGTTTTTCTAAGATTTTAGACATAAAAGGAAGTTTAGAGACCGGTCTGTAGTTTGAAAGGATCGAGATTACTTTTCTTGATAACAGGTTACACCATTGCATGTTTGAAAGCAGTAGGGACGCAGCCTGATAAGAGTGAGGAATTCATTAGAAGAAGATGCAGGCTCCAATAGTGTTCAGGGCATTATTGATAATGCGAGAGGGAAGCACATCATGACGAGAATTAGAGTTTTTCGGTTGGCCTATTATTTCCCTAAGTGTCAGAAAAGAAAGTTCAAACTGTTGAAAGACCATTGAGGATACCCAACTCTATCTATCCATGAAGCCAGATAACACACACCAATTAGTTAAACAGCAGGACATTATTATTATTATTGTTATTATTATTATTATTATGCTCTTATGTTTAAACCAAAGAAAATAATAAGGATGTAGTTTATTTTTATCAATACTTGTTTTTGCATGGGCAAAACAAGTTCAAAGTTGCTTCAGCCGCTATGCTTTAGTAAGAGCTATTTTCTCTCCAGGCTGTCATGTTGTGGGATCACAGAGGAAGGTTGTGTCTTTCTGGCCTCAGCTCTGAAGTCCAACCCCTCCCACCTGAGAGAGCTGGACCTGAGCTACAACCATCCAGGAGTGTCAGGAGTGAAACTGCTGTTGGAGCGACTGGAAGACCCAGAATGTAGACTGGAAACGCTCAAGTCGGTACACTGTGTAGCTTCCACACTAAGTTCTGAAAATAATTTCATAACTTCCCTACAAAGTTTTTTTTCATCTTGACCATCAAAATATTGAAGCTACAGAGCTAGAACTGCTTAACCTTTCTGAAAATGAACTAAATAGTGATTTTGATGTATTAAATGCTTTTAAATTGTCTTAAATAGTCTGAATTGTTTTGTAGTTTAACTCAAAAAATAGATTCTCTCTCACTTTCTTGGTTGTCTTTAACAGTCTGTCATGAGATTTTTTCTAAAGACACTTCTTCAGCTGAGAGTCGGAGAGTAGAAACACACACGCTGCAGTTTTTACTTGCAAGGGCGGTCACAGAGCGCTCGCACCAGAGTGGGGGCCCTGTGATGTGCGCTCTGTTCTTGCACTTGTCTTTATTTATACACAAAAGTAATACAATAGTGAATACGTCTGTTCATAGACAGAGGAATGTTAGTGCGTATGTATGTGCGTATGCATGTGTATATGTGTGTATTGTGAGAATCTGAAGGACGCGGCCCCTCTTCTTGTTAGGGAGCGAAGGTAAGAGTGTTCAGCTCTCCTCTTCCTTGTAGGGAGTGAAACTGCTTGTTCAGCTCTCATTATCGCTGTGGGAAGAAACTTACAAAACAGAACAGAAGAAGTCTTGTAGTGAACAACAGTCTAAGTCATCAAAAGAAGATCACCATGCAGTATTCTATCATATGCAAACGTATATCATTAAAAGCTTATACTGACTACTAAGTACAATTCTCCATTGACACAGTCCCATTGCTATTAACAGGAACCCTTTCTATGTCACTGGCTCAAGATATTTTCTTTTCAAAAATCCAAAGGATGCAAAGTTTCTCTCTTTCTGGCCCCCTTCGTCTGTTATGCAGTAATGTTAACAAAGAACATTAGCTAAGCGTCTCTACAAATGTTTGAATAACAAAAATGTTTAATAATGTTGCCATGTTAGCGAGTTCAATACAATTGCTTCATAAGGATAAAAAAGGAAAAAAAGACTCCGGCATCTAGAGATAACTTTAACATTAAGGCTCACTAAGGTCAACCAGCTGGCTGCTATATTGAATAGTTAGCAAGTTCTCCATAAATGACCGATGTCAGCACAAATAGATTGACATCAGTAGTGCATTTAATTGATGGAGGGACCTTTCTTGTATTTGAGAATTAAAACTTACCTCAAGCTCTTTCTTTTGGCACTTAGCAAAAACTAATCTGCTGCTATGGCTGAACTGCAACCTACTAAATGGTGCAAAATAAAGGATGTATCAAAAAGAATTATCTGATTTCAAAATGCTTCAATTCTGCAGCCTTTCTTGGTAGGAATTGAAACGCATACTGTTAGTAAGACAGGATTTGTGAGTTTCACAACAACAACAGTAGTGGCTCATTGACTCCAGACATGCTCACAAGTATAGTTTGCCTGTTGGATGACCATAAGCCATGCTTCCACATGGCATATGTGAATTGTAGGTTTTGTATGGAAAACTGTATATCCACCAATATATTTTCAAATTTACTACAAGCTCCTATGTCCAATACTTCACAAAAATACCGCCTGTTGAAATCACTCATGGGGGTTGTTACTTTATCAGATAATGTTGCAAATTAAGTGTTGCCAGATTCACACAGCTCAGCAAACTCAGCTGAACTTAATTAGCCATTTGTTTGTTTGTCTTTATGCTAATATTACAGGACCTACTGACCAGTCAGACAGTGTTTCATCAGTGGTTTGGGTGAGCAGAGAGACATGAAACGCTACACATATAAAGGCTAATTTAACGCACTGAGGACTGCTTTCACAAATAAGAGCTTAAAGTCAAAATTTTGAAAACATGTTTAGCGCTGTCTTCTGTCATATGGTTGGTTGGCTGTGGCTAATAGACTTACATTCGTTTATGTTAGCTCTATGTTAGATCTATACAGTATATCTCTTAGCTGGCCTGGGAACGCCTTGTTGTTCAACTGGACAAGCTGGAGAAGGTGGCTGGTGATAGGGAGGTCTGGGCTTCTTTGCTTAGGGTGCTGCCCCCCCGACCCTGCTCCAGATAAGTGGAAGAAGATGGATGAGTGGATGAACCCCCGAACAGAACAGTCATCAGAGGTCATTAACGAGTACAGCAGTCCCAGTCATGGTGCCCATTGCTGGCCACACTCAATACAGAACAAACAGCTGCAATAACATTATACATGAACAATA